AGGCTGACAGCAAGTCAAAATAGACGTCCAGGTCAGCAGAATCCAAATCGTTGTCCCGAAAACCCAAACAATAGGTGTCCTCCCTAAAAGGATAGTCGGCCTTCTGCGTCCGACTAACCTCAAGACCCAAAAGAGTCCAAATACAGGGATCACAGGCTAACTAGACCAAGCGTCCAGCTAAAGAGAGAAATCCCCAGATAAGACGAACGGTGATGTCCGTATACCACAGCAATGCCCAAAACTTCTACAAATATATACTCGGGCATATCCGGACGATTAGAAAGTCAAAGGAGGCGACCCATAGAGTACGAGCCACCCCCTCTGAGGGGAAAATGTTTACGGTAAAAAAGACCAATCCATAGTGACACGTGGCCCAATTGAAGGGTGACACGTGTTACTATAGGAACATGACACGTATGTAAGCCCTGCTAAGAGAACTTGAAAACCAGAGAAAAGGGCATCCTTACATTATGATGCCCAAATCCCGAGAAAGCCGCAAAACGACGCCCCCCAAGGACACGTGTCCATGCCTGATTGCGCCGCCAATCTGAAAAATGTCATTTTGGGGTAATAACCCTAAAAAGCACAAAAACCCACCCCTATAAATACCCCAATCATTCATGATGGGAGGGGTGGATTGGGTAAAGGCTACACATACAATTGTTGTATGTGGTCCCTACATACAACTCTAATTTTTCATGTTTCTATTAGCTAAAATAGTAGGCACAAGTTCCATTAAATTCAATTTATATTTGACTCCTAATTTTCACCCATTTTTTTGTTGATGTGTCAAATTTCTAATGGTGTTGTATGTAGAAATAACATACAATGATTGTATGTGTATCAGCTCTCGGTGGATTTGTGACATAAAATTCAATAGAGGATTATAAACAACTCTAACTTCTCTCTACTTTCTCTCTCTAGCTTTTCTGATTTTAGGTTTCTAACTTAACCAACGGAGGCAAATATTCCGTCAACTGAATATTCGTGTTTTGTAGGTGTACAGGCCATTTGTCAGAAGAACGTGACCAGTGTCCCAGGGGAAATCACAAAATCACCCAAGGTTTTTTCTTTTTGTTTTTGTTTCCCGGCGATGGGAGAGGGAAGGGAGGAGAGTGGTTTAGGGGCGGGGGGTGATCGGCTGTGTGTGTTTGGGGATTGGGAGGACCGGCTGGCCATTTTCGGATTGTTAGGGAGGTGATTGACCGGTTTTTGAAAGGAATGGTGTCCTTCGAACAAGTGTATTATTCTGATAGCGGGTTCAGAATTATTAGAAAGCTAATATATTCAGCAAGGTCAAGTGATCGGAATGCCTGGGTGGAGGCCGCTTCCGATCAATAATATTAATGTATAATTAATATTACAGCTTAATCTTGATTGAACCCTTCGGGTCACACCCTAGCAAATATACCAACCGACTCGACGAATTAATTCGGAAGAAATTAATTCATCGCCCGTGTATTAAATATTTAGACGTCGAAAAATCGAGCTTAGAGCGTCAGAAGTCTAGTCAAATTAATAAAAGACGAGACACGAAAATAATAAATCAACAAGACCAAAATACCCCTAGCATCGGAATGCCCCGAGCAAACCGAGTGTTAGGGGCATTTGGTATAGCATAGTGGCTAGCATGCGCACCAAGCCGAGCCTAGGCTGGCTGGTGTGTGCTAACGCACCAATGCTAGCATCGCATGCTAGCAGCGCTGGCCAACGCGCGCAAGGAGCATCGGCACTTAGCAGCAACCCGCATCCTTGATGCGCGGCTTGCTGGCCGAGTGCACAAGTAGCCCGCACAAGCCGTGCTGGGCTTGCTGGCCAGCAGCGCCAAGCAGCCCGCACGCTTGTGATGGGCCTGCTGGCAGCCCACCTTGGGTGCCTTGGTGCCCAAGTGTGGTGCCATGTGGAGCATTTTAAGAGGAGGCTTGAGGAATGAGGTGGCCGGTTTTTGGAGAGGGAGTGGGGAGCAAGTTTGGTCCCCCCCTCCTCCAAATGGTCCTCACCTAACCTCTCTCATGAGCTTGCCACTTGTTGATTTATTACTAGTTTTATTATTTATTTTATTTTATCATTAAAATAAAATGGAAAAATCAAATTCTCCCACATTGATGGAAGAGATTTTTCACTCTCTAGTTTTCCCTATAAATGCCCAAGTTGGGGTATTGAGAAAATCACTTGAGTGAGAGTTGAAAAAGGCATCACCATTGTGAAAACCTTTGAATTCATTTAATCACTCGGGTTTTGGTTGGACCTTGCTAACTCCAAGGTAGCGGACCTAAAAAGTCGGTGTTCGTCCTTTGTGGGTGGATACCGTTGGAGGCTCGGTATTTTCGGAGCTAAAGATTTCAAGTAAGAGCCCATTAGGTCGGGCGAAGCACGCGTCAAAGGTAAATTCCGATTTTATCCTTTTATGTTTATTTGTTATGCTTTATGGTTTTAGTAATTGAGAGTGGTTCTTTGGGTCGGGGTCGTTTCCACGCTAAGTTGGACTTACCAAACCCCAACAGTTTTTACGGTGGGGGTTGGTTGGGATCTTACGGTGGAGGTGGCTGGGTTTTGACGGTGGAGATGGCTGGGAATTTTCAACTTTTAAATTTTTTTTATTTTTTAAACATTAGGCGAATCATGTGCTGACATATGGCTATTTTTTTTTTTTAAAAAAAAAAAAAAAAAAAAAAAAAAAAAAAAAAAAAAAAAAAAAAAACTTTTCAGCAGGTAACTAGTTTTTGGGTCTATTGGAGGTAAATTGACCCAATAGTTAGGATTATTAAAAAAATAAACTTTAGTTGGGATTATTAGAATTAAATCGGTAATAATTGAGATTATTAAAGTGTATTTTTCCTACACTATCAATGACTCATGAATTCAACTCAATGGTTGTAGAATCAAAAACGACAATTAGACAATTCACAATCCATTTATGAATTTTACTAATCATTTTAGCATATCACTTTTTAATTCTCTCATCATAACTAATATCCAATAGTGTGCTTACGGTATTTGAATTTTTTTTTTCTCTCTCTAGAAACGAGAGCTCCCCTCACTAAAAGTGAGTCCTTCCTAGCATTGCTAGAGTTCATCAAGCTTCAAGCTTGGAGGTGCTACATGCATGCAGATTTGTTTCCTCCCCTCTGATTTATTTTATTAGGTGGGTAAGATTTTTAATAGCTCCCTCTAGGTAGGAGATGCTGCAATCTTTTGCTTCTGATTTGGATTAGCTTCCTTATTTTCCTTTGTCCAAAAGTATTTCTTGGTTTTACAAAAAACTCCTCGGCTTCTGATTAAAGGCTAGAGCCTTTCTCATTCTTTTTCTCTTCTCAAGAAAGCTGAGCCGCCCCTGCTGTTCATGCAACCAATACAATCACAACATTAATTGCTCTGAATTTATGCTAAGGTAGTAGGTATAGCTAGAGACGGCTATTCTCTGTTTAGTGTTTATTCTCCCAATCTTCCTGTTCCCCACGCTCAGACCTCTCATTTTCCCAAGAACTTCTGGTTTGAGTATAAATGGGAAAGAAGTTGCAGCAAGAATAACTTAACTTCTCATTCCTTTTTTCTGTCTTTTTCTCCCCCTGTCTTCTCTGTTTATTCTCTTCTTAACTCCTTCTCATTCATTCTTCTTGTCTTTAATATGAGTAATAGCAGTCAGTCACCTAATGCTCTTAATGAGCATGAATTCAGGGATCTAAGAGGGGGACCTCTAATTGCCAACCCTCCAGATTTCGATGTAGAAAACATCAATATAAATTTCAATTTGAGCGTGATAAGGCTGTTTGTAGGACCCTGTCCCCCCTGCTTCTTTGGTGCAACAAATAGTGAATGTGAGGTGGATAAGGAGTGGGGAAATTAGGGTCTACATATCGAGACCCTATTTCTTATTTGAGTGCAGTAGAAGTGAAGATCAACATGCGTTGATTCGGGTTGGTACTGCAACTATTGACGGAAGGCTCATTAACTTCAGGCAACATCAAATTGAGTACGTACCACAACAAATGAGTTTCTCTCTAACAAGGCTATGGGTCAGAGTGTACGGGCTTCCTCTAGCCTATCTCACGCAAAGTTGGGCAAGGAATATTTTCAGGCACGTAGGCTACATTGAGGATTAGACCTCGAAGGGGAAGGCCTACCATTGCAAGCCGAACTCAGGGCTAGGGCTCTCGTGGACCTGTCGATGCCACTAATTCTGGGGTGTTTCATACCCCTTGAAGGTAATAAGGTCATCTGGGTATATTTGCTATATGAAGGGCTTTACAAATTTTGTAAAAGTTGCGGGTGTGCTGGACATGGCACATCCCGCTGTCGGCTGCATCCAATAGTAGCAAGAAGGAGAGTTCGGAGAAGGCTTGATGATGTGGAGGCCGACGGGATAAGAGTGCTCTATGGGCCGAGGGAATACCCGTTTTACTCCAATTTCATTCGCTGGTTACCTGACTGGTATCGCTTCCGCAACACAGGGGTGGATTTGAGGCATCACAACCACCCCGAGGACGACCCTATTTACGGTAGGGTTCTAAGGGAAGAAGTGTTCGAAGGGGGGAACCCTTTTAAGGAGCACCCAATTCCTCAAAAGTATGGGAGGGCTAGGAATTAGAGGGACTGCAAATCTAATGCCCTCCTGTTCAAACAAGCAACAAGGATGCATCTAAATCCGCAGTTGCTTTTGTCAAGGGTGCACAGAGGAATGCAACCCTGTGGAATTTGCTCAATCTCTACGCCCTATGTCCGGAGAGGGATCCCTTCGATGGGAAGATCAAGTATACAGAAGGTCACAGACGTGTTCAAGAAGGGGTTTGCTTGGAAAACTGGTAATGGGGATATGATTAAGGCCATAAGCATGCCATGGGTCAATGGAGAGGAACCAATCGTTAACTCCGGGCAAACTCGATCTAGGGGCTGCAATGAATTGGAAGGTAAGTGAGTTTATTGACAGTGCAACAGGTACCTAGAAGACGGGGAAGGTTAGAGAATGTTTTGATTGGGAAAGTGCAAGGGTTATCTTAGCAATGGAACTTCCTTCTACAAGTAAGGATGACTTCATTTACTGGAAGTTCCACCCATCAGAAAGATACACGGTAAAGACAAGATACTCTTACCTCATGAAAGAAGAGAAATCAGCCCAAGATGTGATCCCTAGTGAAAAGGATCAGGAGTTTGTAAAGCTAATTTGGAGAATGAATATCCAACCAAAATGGAAGATTTTCCTGTGGAAGCTTTATCATGATGGAATTGCAGTAAAGGAGAATTTAGCCAGAAGGGGTATCCAAATTGATAATATCTGTGGGTACTGCGGGGTGGCTCCTAAAGATAGCCAACACTTGTTCAGATTCTGTATTCTAGCAAAAAAGACATGGGGAAAGAGCCCCCTTGCTATTTGCTCTGATTCTGCTGGGTTCAATTTGTTGAGGAATTGGATCCAATCATTTATCCTGTTGTTCAATAGTGAGGATGGTAAGCACAGTAACCGTATTGTTCTGTTTATTGCAACACTATGGGGTCTATGGAGAACGAGGAACGAGAGAAGCTTCAATGGTACGACTGGAGGAGCAAGTCAGTTAAGGAATTTATTAACCAAGCAATTAGTGATCATGAGACTTTCACTCATAATGAAGAGCGACACCATAATGATGCAGGAAAAGAAAGGGATGACCCTGCTCTACCACCTGGCTTTATTTATGTTCAGTTGGGACAAGAAAAAGAGGGGTTTGAAAACTTCTTGGTGGAAGTGGATGGCTCTTGGGATAAAAAGACAAAGAGGGCAGGGATCGGATGGTCAGTCGTGGGAAATGGAGAGGAAATGAACTCAAATGATGGAGGAAGGCATGGGGCCGCAAACTCAGTACTACAATGTGAAGCTTGGGCATGCTTGGAAGCCATGAAATGAGCTCGTACAAAGGGCAAACAAGGACTCCTCATCCTCACGGATTCAATCTCCCTCATTAAAAATCTTCAAAACCAACAAGGTAAGGATATTGAGATTTCGTGGACGGTAAAGGAAATAAAGGAAATGGGTGCTTCTTTCAAAAGATGCACCATCCTAAAGGTCGCGAGAGATCAAGTCAAGATGGCAAACGATATTGCTAAAAACTGCCGCTTAAATACGCTTAGTTATGTTTAGATTTGTTTGTTCCTTTGCTAAAAATTGCCGCTTAAATACGCTTAGTTATGTTTAGATTTGTTAAAAAAAAAAAAAAAAAAAAAAAAAAAATTAAATAAATCATATCACTTTCTTCCTGCAATTATTGACAATGGTACGATCCAATGACTTAAATCATGTAAAAGTAACTTCGTTTAAGAAGAATTTCAATGCAAACAAAGCTAAATTTTAATAATTAAGAATATAGCAGCAGCTAGAACATGGAGCAATTACTAAAAACCCTCAGTTAGCTAATTTAACACTATAATTTATAAATCATACGTTCAAAGAATTTAACACTAGCGCCTGTGATTCAAAATCATCACATTATAGCAAACAAAAATCCTAATTTTTACTATTCAAGATCTAATTTAATAAACGTAATTACTAATTCAAAAATTGAAAATCAAAATCATAAACTCGCCTTCTGCCATTGTTAGCTTGAAAGCCGCAGTCGCTGGTAAAAATTGGTTTTATTTAAAGATCAAAAGTGATTTTATTTATTTAAAGATCAAAAGTGATTTTATTTATTTAAAGATAAGGTACAAGAAAATAAGACAAGTCTTCTTACAAGACGGTGGCCTAATATACCTTGTAAAAATTAAACAAAATTGCTATACAGAAAAGGGTCAATACCTTCATATATCAATTTAGAATAGCCTAGAGAAGCGGCATAAACAGGAGGAAAAAAAATGTTTGAAATTTGTACACCATTATATACAATCAGGTATACAACCATATATGTTCATTATAATGCCACAAAGTAAAAGAGGACTAAGATTTCATTTCATATGAGCAGCATGCTTTCAGGATATCTTCAATAGGTGGATCATCCCCAGCTTCTTTATCCTGATTTGCACAGTTTGACACAATTAAATGTTATAACGACTTCCACAAAAGAAAATGTCATTACAATACTAACATTTTGCCCTTTTGGGTGTGTTTTCATTCGAGCATTCAGGCTCTCATTTAGAGTCATTTCAACTCTAATGATTGTGCCTGATCACATGATCACATTCTGACATGTGCTATCATGTTCATTTCATTTTAACAATAACATTTCATTTTAGACAAAACCAAGGAAACAATTTCATAACATTTTGTTTTTGTTTGCAAGGTGCTAACATGTCTATTAATCAATAAGTTCTAACCTTATGAATATATGAAATATTGGTTTTACCAGGACCGGCTACTATGATTCCTCCCTGCTGCCTGAAAAAAGAAATGTTCAAGGTATATTTGTAAGAGTTGAACATAGATGACATAAACTAATACGAGTAATAACTTTCCTTGTCCAACAAGTTTTATTTATAGAAGTTTTACACAAAATACATCAGATACTTCTATGTACCATGATATTTCAGCATCAACGAAAAATACTAAGATTTCCGCAAACCAAAACATTAAAAGCCATTGTTTAGAGTTTACATAACTTTAGTCCCAGAGCACCAAATTAAACTTCAATTGAGAGTAATACAAAAATTAGGACTCAGTTAGATGAGCAAAATGCTGAGATAAATACCATTTTAAGTAAAAATAGACCAATACTGTAAATAAAAATAGAAAGACACTGAAGGTTACGCCAAATTAATATGGAGATTTGAGGCAAGTTATAGGTTAGTTTTGTAGACTTCTTGGAGATAACTGAAATATTGAAAAATCCTATATCAATGACCCTAAAAACTAATTTAATGTTTGTACACCTGATGAGAAATCACCTAGGAAGAAACAGTCACGATGAATTTCTGCTTGGGGTTACTGACGTGGATGGTAGATCAGTATATCAAGTTTTAAATTACAGTTTTTAAGCAGCTCAAAACATTTACTTCTGGAAATTCTTAGGCCTTTCTCAATCAGGGAAGTAAATTTTGGTTGATAGCATTCTGGTTGCCATGGCATCTTTATCTTGTCAATTATCTTGGAACCAAGGAAAATTTCAAATTTGTCAGCACTTTTGAAATTTGGGCAGGCTTCATCAGGCGATATACTGCAAAACTACTAGAGGAAGAAACCTCTCTTGGAGAAGCACATAGATCAGGGTGGGTTAGGCTTACAAAAAGTCTCATTCCTCAATGTGGCAATGATTCTAACACACATGAATGATGTAACTGAGCATGGCCTTTTAGGTCAGCAGAATATTTAGCAAAGTGCAAAAGAAGATTCTTGTTTGGCTCACGAGTAAGGCGCAGCCTCTAGCTTGTGGTGAGCCAAAAGTCTGAGAAAAACTAGTTTAGTGGAGGGATCTTAGCTATAGTAGATGAAAGAATACAAAATACATAGATCAAGAATGAAAATATAGATTTCAAGAACAGGCGTTCGAATAATACCGTTGATATACCTGATTAGGCTTCACAGCAGATGAAGCCGGATATAACCTGGATTAAGGATATGGTGTGGAACTAGATTGTATATGAAATCGCTCAAGATATCTTGGTGGCCAACATATACTGGAAATTAATGTCCAAAATTTTTCTGAATTAAAAAAGACGCCAGACAGGTAATGGAAAATGCACTATAACATCGAGTTATATGTATATACAGAATCTTGGGCGTGGGAATGGAAGGGTGAAATGGTTTCGATGTTGATATAGGAATGAAATCATCTTTATGAACCAGCAACGCATTACTTGATTTCCTTTTAGAATTATAGAGATTTCTAGTGAAGCTGAACTGATGTAGGGGAGGGTGAACCAGAATAGTCATATGCCCACCATTTTGCCAGGAGAAGGCTCCAGCACAGAAGAGGCTCTGCAGGACTTGCATTAAAAGCATGGAGCCTTGGGATTTGATCCATTCAGAAGGATGAAAGTGAACAGGTCATACTAAAAAGAGTTGCTACATGCCAATTTTTTTTAAAAAAAAAGGATAGGGTTAATAGAGGAGGGGGGGGGGGACCGGGGGGAGGGGGAGGATATAACGCACTCAACTAACAATAAAATGATGCTATGCAAGAATATAATTTATAACTTTCACTTTCATGGATTTATTTGAGAAGCAGAGATGACAAGGGAAATAATTAGGAAAGTTCTCAAAATATGTGATAAATTAGGCAAAAAATAAATGAATTTCATTAGTTCATAATTGGAGTAATACTTTGGCAACTTAGCCTTGCTTCACCCTTTTCCTTTTTCTTCTACAAATAACATCACCAAGTATCTAGCTGGATTGGGTTATGACACAGAGTTAATAGAGAATATGAAAATATTGTTTGTAAGAGAATAGACTTAAAGACAGAACAATAAGGAAGTTATGGCAAGAGGAAAAGATGGTCTAAAATGACGATACCAATATATTATTAGCACTTAGCAAATAGATTCTGACAATAACAAAGTATCAATCATGCTTGCAAATTGCAAAGGTGATCGGATTTATCAGAATCTTAGCCTTTCTAATATATAGAAGATATTGTACGACAGTGTGTGCTGAAGGCAATTGATCACTGGTTTCCCCATTTCTTGCAGTGCTTGCATCTCAAAGGTAAATTTTTTCGTAAAGTTGTGCTAGCAAGGGAAGTTGGTTTAGCAGATTTTCCAATATCCTCACAGGAAATGGATATTATACAACTTACACACGGATCCATTACATGTAATAGACAATTATGCATTCATGATGGAAAAAAAAAGGCCACATACCAGCCACCTCTAGACACAGTGTCTTTCTGAAATGATAGCCCCCAGTCTTGCCTGTATCCTTCCATGTATAACTGAATTATCTTCAACCCTGCCTGTATCATCATTCATCAAATTTAACTCAGAATTTTGCAAATAGAGACATTAAGCCTATATGACATCTGTTTAAAACCTTGGGGGTAAACGTGGTTGAGGCCCCAGAAACAAAATTCAGTGCACCATATGATGAATGATTTGGATCTGCATAAACTTCTGAAAAAAATAATAACAGAACTAAGTTAGGTTCATGGAACAGGAAATAATTTTTGAAAAGTCTAAATGAAATAATTATCGAAGTAAATTAAATAGCCATATCCTGATTTACCTGTGGCTAGACAAAGAACATTTTTCAGAAACATTTAAAGAACCAAGAAGCATGGGTAAGTAAGAATAAAAAATTAATTGAACTATATAATATTCATATCATACAAGACCATACAACAACAACAAAGCCTTAGTCCCTAGGTTGCACGAAAACGGGAAACGGAAACAGAAACGAGAAATTGGGGAATTGGGGGGAAACGAAAATTATTAAATTATGAAAATTATTAAATTATGAGAAACGGGGAAACGAAATAATAAATAAATAAATAAATAAATAAAGATATTTTCTTTATATAAACTACCAATTGATTAAGGACCAAACTTTTTCTCTTTTCTAATACAATGTCCCACCGTCATTTATCTTTCTCTTCTTCCCCAGCAATAAGAATATATATGCAGACAATTCAAGATCATCAATTGCGAATAAAAACTAAAATTGTTCATCATAATAACACAAAAATAATTTAGGCTTTTCCTCCAACTTCTAATCTTTTACAAACGGCCATATTGGAGTCACGCAGATGAACGATAACGATGACGATGACGGTAAATTGTAGCTTTCCCCTTTTTTCTCAAATTAAAACAAAAATAAACCCCAAATCACCGAGGTTTAAGTGATTTTTTAAAAGGGAAACGCTTTTTAATACCCTTCCCAAGGTTTCCAAACTTTCAAATGGTGTGAGACGTTTTACAAAGCCAGGAAACTTTCAAATGCATTTCAAAACGTAAAACGTTTCCGAAATGTTTCGGAAATGA